ACCTTGCTAGCTTGCCACTAGAAAGACCAAAGGCAGCGTTTTCCAAAGTTGTTGCGGCTAACCAGAATTCCATCTCGTGGAGATTCTTGCCCGCAACCATACCACTATCTCCAGAGTGGTGCATGAAACGACCGACTGTGCACCTTAAAGTGCCGGGGATATCTAAAAAGGCAAGCCTGTCATCTGCAGCCCTCAAGCAGATCTCACTGGACCTTTTGCATTTGTCCTATGCTAACCGAATTCATGTTTACACGGACGGTTCGGTCTCGGGAAGTTCGACAGGTGCCTTTGTCATACCATCTCAGTCAATCACCGTCAAATTTAAGACATCACACGTCACGACATCTACGGGATCCGAGCTCGCCGCTCTTCGAGCCACTGCGGAGTTTGTTACGCAAGAATCCCCTAGTAGATGGGCCATTTTCTGCGACTCCAAGGCAGCCCTTCAATGCGTGCGAAGTCTACGACGTGGAAACTACCACCAGATGGTGTATCGTATTAATGAAATTTGTCATCGCACTGCTGATCAAGGACACGACATTGTTTTACAATGGTTGCCGGGCCACTGTGGCATCAGTGGTAACCACCTCGCCGACGACGCTGCCCGATGTGCCCACGATGGAGCGCCCACACTGTTAATACCCTTGTCAAGAGTAGACGCAGCTAGAGAACTTCGTCACATCGCGCATAATGCCACGCTTGCGCACTGGAATTCTCCACTCAACTCCAATCATCGCGCTAAGAATCTTAAGTCATTACGTCAGAAACAACTGCCATCCAAGACTTCTCGACGTGACGCTACAATGCTGTGCCGGCTGTGGACTAGGGTAGCGTTTACTAAGTCATTCAGCCATCGCATTGGCATGGCGGATTCATCCATGTGTGAAAGCTGCAACTGTATAGAGACTATTGAACATTTCTTGTGCCACTGAGCCCAATTTGATGAAGATCGCCGGACTCTCCAGTGTGCCTTGAATAGACTCGATGACCGGCCATTTAATGAAGCAAAGATCTTAGGAGCCTGGTCGCGCAGCACATCAGCACAGAAAGCCACACGAGCCCTCCTGAGATACTTGTCAGCAACTTCATTGAGGGACCGCCTTTGAAACTCGGCATTGTATGTGTGATGTGACATATGTCTATCCTTCTCTCTCTCTCTCTTTTACTCTCCCCTCCCCCTCCCCATGTGTAGGGTAGCAAACTGGACGCATAGTCTAGTTAACCTCCCTACCTTTCTTACATTCCTTCTCTCTCTCTCTCTCTTTGCACAATGAAATGCTCTTTTTAAATAACATATGTTGTAGAGCAGCAAAACTATTTTAGAATGTATAAAAATCTGAAAAGTGTGGAATTTATGGTTGCTAGCTGGTAAACAGTTCAATAAAAACACTACATGTGCAAAAAATAACGAAAACAAAGAAAATTCAGAATATACATTTTGTGGATGAATAACCCAGGAACAGTATAAAAAATGATTAATGTTGTACAATATATTTATCTTTAAATAGACAAGGAAAATCAGAACCTGGGTGCTGCTTCATTGCTCATGCTATGTGTTGAAGCGTTGCATAGTTTTTCGTGAGACACCGTTGTACTCGTACACTTTTCTGAGTAAATGTTTGTTGTCTTGCTACAAGAGTCTCCAGGTGTTCCAATATAGATAAATACCCCTCATATGAATAATCCCTCTATAAATGAGATGTCCAATAAACCTTACCATTTCATCTAGCGTCACCTCTTTCCATGAACCACCTTACTACACATAGGTAGGCATTCCAATATATGCATCCAAGCATATTTCATTGCATTTTTGCACATATCGTAATAAAAAGGACAATACCATGTGCAGTTCTAAAGGTTTTCGCACTGCTCCGTAGTCAGGGCCAAGATGTGCTCCGGGAGCTTTCTTGTCATTACGAGAACCTCTGCAGCTAGCGCCAGCACATCGCGCTCCTGTGAAGTGTGGACAATGCATGTAACTAGAGTAGCTACAAGATTGTGCACAATGGTCAGAAGCTGTACGCACTTGTCGCGGCTGAGGCAACTTGTGGATGTAAACAAAACAAACCCATGAACGGCTGTGGATGTCTCAGGCTGAGGCAAAACATCATAGCCATAAAACTTGAAGCTGAGGTGCTGTTATCCTCGTCCCCACTCAATTCAGGTGGAGTTGAAAGACAATTTTGAGCAGCGCATGTGTTTTGCAGCGCTGGTGCGTACCCATGCGCGTGTGACGACGATGTCATAGGAGCGACTATTGACACTTTATGCGACCCTGTGTCTGAAAATAACAATGCAAGCAAAACCAAGACTGCTGTAAACTGTCGGAGAAGGCCACCTCAACGCTTCCAACGCGCGGTGGACCTTCGTAAATATATTTTGTAGAACAAATTTTCCCCGACTCCTAGAAACAGATCTCTATTGCATAGTTGGCATGAATTTCTGGCAATTAGTACTGCTAAAGATAGTGAAACTGCAAAGGTGACACTTTAATTCAATATTTGTCTTGCAAAGATTATTTTCATTTTAGAACTTCGATGATACTGCAGCATAATCATAAGGGGCACACACTTCTGTCAAATTCGCCTTGCCAGCTTAGTGCACTTTTCAAACAATGCACGCACATTGGTTTGCACAAAGGTCTGTCAAAAATTACTACGTTATTAAAATGGGCAAATTAAAATTGATTCTGAAAGTTGAGTATTTGAACTTACTAAAAAGCCCTGGGTGCATGACAAATTGAACACCAAATTGACAATTCAAAAGCGTCGATCACTGGTGATAGATTTGAATAGGCGTGGTAATGATAGAGTTAAAATGTCGGACAAATTACTAACTTTGCGTAATAAAAAAATTTGGGGGGCTATGAATTCGTGAGGTAATTAACATCGATATTGAAGTAGGTCATTTGATGATTGCTTATAGTGGTACAGGTATAATGAATATTTCTGACTTGTTTTTTTTTATGCTGACCTGTTACATGTCTGAAAAAAAAAGTAGTATAGCTAGTGACACACAGATTTACTTTTGTTGCTGTGCTTGCCTGTCAGGTGGAACTATGTGGATGCAGTCAAACTTTCTTTTGTGTCTATGCAGCGTTAGCATGACTACCAACATTGTTTTAAAGGTCAACTCCGGTGATTTTTTTTACCATGTCAGGGTTATGGTGCTTTTATGTTCCTGAGACACTCTTCTCACGCACTCCTTAGCTGAAATACTCAACAAATTTGAAAATAATTTTTAATAAGAAAAAGACTGCAATACCAAATTGAAATGCAAACAAGTGCACTGTCTGCGTGTGACCTACTACTTCGACAAAATCGGAAATCCTGCAAAGTATGCCGGTCCTGCCAGCGCAGAGTACGAAAACTGCGAAAGCCGCAAAGAGCAGATGCTCTGCAGATTGGTCGCCACACCAACAATGCCTCATCATATTTTTGACTGATCGGGCCTCATGCACAAGCTCCTCGGAGCTGTCAAGCAATGACAGCCACAATTTGGACGCATTTGGAGGTCAACGAGCATTATCATTCCTCTTCGATGAAGCAGAACAGATTTTTATATTTGCTTGCCTGGTTGCACATAATGCCGCCAGATGGCATTACTTGTCCACATCATTCAAGCTTGTATCTGTAGTGATCGGCTAAAACATTTACGCTGTAATGGTGAATATATCTGCCGAATCATGCGCGGCCCGCAACACGACACCACTTGCCACCCATCGCACGCCCACCCACACGAAAAAGGAAACTGCATACTCAACCAAGGAAGCACGAGCCAAACACACAATCCATGACAGACAAGCAGACGCTGCAGTGGCACATCAATTTCGTCACTTCCGTTGCTTGCAAAAATCGACGTCACACACACTGTGTTGCCATCGATTCCGGCAAGCGAGGTGGACGTTGGGAAGGTATCTATAAAATTTATTTGAAAAGAGTCTGCGAAACGCTCAACCCTGCAGTTTGTCATGAATGGTGCAAACATGCAAATGAAGATACCCAGTGAATTTTATTGAGATCCACTGACCACGAAAAAACGCCGGAGTTGGCCTTCAAAACCATTCTTTGCAGTTTGCCTGGCACTTTGGGTAGATAAGTTTCTGTTTAACCTCGTTTCATCCTTTTTCAATCAAAAATATGATCCTTATATTTATGGAATAATCCAGTGCATACCAGCTTGCTTGCAAATTATTGCACGGGAAAAGTAGGCCAGTGCAAATATTGGAATGCTTCGAATATGCAAGCAAGTAGTAGATTACTTGAGTTCGCTTCGATTCAAAATTCAATTATTGAAAATTTGGAAGTATTCGCAATGAATTAATAGCTGTATATCAGTCCACGTGTAACTCCTTCTAAAGGTGGTTTCACTGCAGTGTGTACTAAGCTGTGAAAGCTATTCAGGGTAAATCCACTCTGCCGCCGATTTCTACTTCAAAATTAAGTAAACATATCACCCTCAAATCAATTAATCATAAGCTTAAAAGCTTGTTATGCTGGCTTATATGCTTTACGTACAATAAATTTTAAAATGTTACGTATGAGTCAAATCTTGCTACTACTCAAAGTTGTTTCGACGTCCTTTAAATGAAAAAAAAAAAAAGAAAAGGTATTTGCATAGATGCTTTATTTCAATTAAAAAAAAAAGTATCGTGCGGGTTAGTTATGTTATGTTAAATATGTCTTTTTCTTTATGTGTTATATATGCTATTCAAATTTGATTCAAAATTATTTTACTGAAATTACTATTTGCTTCAAATTAGCTTCGAACCCAAAATTCACTATTCCCACGAGCCTAGTGAAAAGCAATGTGTCAGCATTCCTTTGCATGCATTGATCGGCTAGTGGTATTGTAAAAACAATGTTGTGTGAAGCTATTGGTTGAATCGCCCAGCAGAAATTGTTTCATTTCTCCAAGAAATTTATAAGCAGGTAAAAAACTTCAAGTGTCTGTAATTAGCATACATCATTTGGCTTTGCAACTTTTATTGTTTCTTCCAGTGAACCAGTTCGGAATGAGTTGTGCTATGGTTTGGACAACCTGCCTGAAGGAGCGATTGCCCTCAATTTGCTTCCTCTGCTTCTTAGCGAAAAGGCACAGCAGCAGCAACTCAAGCCCAAGAGCAAGTACGTGATCCTGTGTGCATATGTCCCATAGATTTGAACTCTGTGATAAGTTAACAAGGCCCTGCAACACTTTTCGAACATGGTCAAAAAATGCTGCCGATCGGTTGTAGAGGCTCTCGAGAACACGCGATATTATTATGTTATAATAATATTATAATAATATATTGTAGCGATGCTGAGGCAGACCGGCTAAAAAACAAGCAACTTTATTAGGGCGAACTTGTGCCCACAAGTCTAATGACTATGGTTGTCGAGTCCGAGTAGCCGAGAGGCACAGATTCAACTAACTTCTTCTTCCTCGTTGTTGGAGCGCACGAACGCGTGGCGCATGCCAGCCGGGTCTTGCTGGTGCTCTTGCCATGATGATTGCGGCGGGCTACTTGAACGTGGCCAACGTGTCGCGGCATTATCCCCCTCCTCAGACGCATCGTCCCGATGCTTGAGCGAGTGAAATGATACATGCGCCCTCTCACTCGTTTTCCGACGATCTGTCATGATAGGGCTTCATGCGGACTACGTGTAACACTTCCGTGGTATTGCGGCGTCTTGAGCTCACGTGTCCCGCGGATCTGACTTCATATGTGACGTCGCTGATACGGTTCAGTACTTCATAAGGGCCGAAGTATCGACAAAGAAGCTTTTCAGAGAGTCCGCGGCGGCGCACTGGGATCCATATCCACACTTTGTCACCGGGATGATAAAGTGCGTCACTGCGTCGCTTGTTGTACCGACTAGAGTCGACGCGCTGTTGACGGCATATTCGGTATCTTGCCATTTGTTGTGCTTCTTCGGCTCTTTGCAAGAAGTCATCTAAGTCAGGTGGATAGCTGTTTTCGTCCTGTAGTGGTAACATGGCATCCAGTGGGGTGGTCACTCTTCGGCCGAATACTAGTTCGAAAGGGGCAACGTGGGCTGTTTCTTGAACGGCTGTATTATATGCGAATGTTACGTAGGGTAATATTTCATCCCACTGTTTATGTTCAACATCGACATACATTGATAGCATGTCGGTCAGAGTTCTGTTGAGGCGTTCGGTTAAGCCATTTGACTGAGGGTGATACACCGTTGTTCGTCTGTGATCGGTATTTGTCATGCGCATCAGACATTGCATAAGGTCTGCAGTAAATGCGGTGCCCCGATCCGTAATAACGACGATGGGTGCCGCACCATGTCTGAGCATTATGTTGTTCACAAAGAACTTGGCGACTTCGGCAGCTGTCGCACTGTACAAAGAGTCAGTCTCAGCATAACGGGTCAGATAGTCTGTAGCTACGACAATCCATTTCTTGCCTGCACATGATGTCGGGAAAGGTCCTAGGAGGTCCATGCCGACTTGTTGGAATGGGGCATCCGGAGGGTCTATTGGATGGAGAAGGCCGGCTGGTTTTACGGCTGGAGTTTTGCGTTGTTGACATTGCCGACAAGTTTTCACGTAGCGCTGCACTGATGCGAGCAACTTAGGCCAATAGTATTTCAGGCGAATCCTGGCGAATGTTCGGCTCACACCCATGTGGCCAGATGTTGGCCCGTCATGGCATGCATGCAGAATTTCCTGTCGCATGGCTGTGGGCACGACTAGTAAAAACGTTTCGCCATTAGGTTCAAAGTTCCTCCTGTAAAGGACACTTCCTCGAAGGCAGAACGTGGAGAGCCCTCTGGAGAATATGCGAGGAACTTGAACGTCGACACCCTGCAGGTGTTGTATAAGCACCAGCAAATCCGGGTCATCTCGTTGTTGTTGAGCGATTTCGGATGCGTCGACAACGCCTAGAAACGGGAAGTCTTCCTCTTCAGGTACACTTGGATCGACGGGAGAGCGTGACAGGCAGTCGGCATCACTGTGTTTCCTTCCAGATTTGTATACGACCGTAATGTCATACTCCTGCAGCCTAAGGCTCCATCTGGCTAGTCGACCTGACGGATCCTTGAGATTTGCTAGCCAGCATAGAGCATGGTGGTCACTGACAGCTCTGAACGGTCTACCATAAAGGTAGGGTCGAAACTTATTTATTGCCCAGATGACTGCGAGGCACTCTTTTTCAGTAGCAGAGTAGTTTGCCTCAGCTTTTGAGAGTTTGAGGCTGGCATAGGCTAGCACTTTCTCCTGACCATTTTGCCACTGGACCAGGATGGCACCGAGGCCGACATTGCTGGCATCGGTATGAACTTCTGTCGGCTGTCTCATCAAAATGGGCAAGTATTGGTGAACCCTGTAGCCGTTTTCTTAATTCATCAAAAGCTTTCTGTTGTTCGCTTTCCCATGTGAAGGGCACGTCGTCTTTCGTTAGTTTTGTAAGAGGTTCCGCAATCTTTGAGAAGTTTTCCACAAATCGCCTATAGTAGGCACATAAACCCAAAAATCGACGCACTGACTTTTTGTCTTTGGGTGTAGGGAACCTCTGAACAGCGGCTGTCTTTTCGGGATCAGGACGAACACCGTCAGAACTAATGACATGTACAAGGAATCTCAGCTCTTCGAAGCAGAAGTGGCATTTTTCAGGTTTGATTGTCAAGTTTGCTGACCGGATGGCTTGTAATACAGTGCGCAGTCGCTCTAAATGTTTGTCGAACGTTGCAGAGAATACCACCACGTCATCCAAATACACTAGGCATGACTGCCATTTCAATCCCGCGAGGACAGTGTCCATCATTCGCTGGAACGTCGCTGGCACGGAACAGAGGCCGAATGGAAGTGCTTTGAATTCGTAGAGGCCATATAGTGTTACGAATGCCGTTTTTTCACGGTCCCGCTCGTCTACCTCTATTTGCCAATATCCGCTTTTCAGATCCAAGGAGGAGAAAAACTTTGCGGATCGCAGCCGATCTAGTGTATCGTCAATACGTGGCAAGGGGTAGACATCTCGTTTAGTTACACTGTTGAGTTTTTGGTAGTCGACACAGAATCTAAGCGTGTTGTCTTTCTTCTTAACGAGCACTACGGGGGACGCCCATGGACTATTCGAAGGCTGGATGACATCATCCGAAAGCATTTCCTCCACTTGCTTCTTAATGATTTCCCGTTCTTTCTGTGACACTCGATATGGATGCTGGCATATAGGCCTCGTGTCGTCTTGCGTTATAATTCTGTGTTTCGTAATTGACGTGCGCTGGACCTTCGAGGCAATTGAAAAGCAATCAGAGAATTCTTTTACTAAGGCGTAAATCTGTTTCTTTTGACTGTCCGGAAGGCTCTGGTTGACGTTCACGGATGTGTCGATGTTGCAGGCCACTGGTCGAGTGGTTGACGAGGTTAAGCTGCATAGTTCGGTCGCCATACAGAAGTCGTGTAAATAGGCAATAGCCGTGCCTTGAGCGACGTGTTGAAGTTCATTGGAGAAATTCGTAAGTAGGACATCCGCACGGCCATTCGTCAAGTGAACAAGACCCCGAGCTACGCAGACAACATTTTTCAAAAACAGCCCCACATTTGTATCCGCTATGCCTTCGCGGTTGTAAAATGCATCATTCTCTATGAGCACCATTATACTGCAGCGTGGCGGCACAGTTACGTCATCATGAACAACGCGTAGAGCAGTTAGGCGTCGCTCCTCGGATTCCTCTACAGGTATAGCTCGTTCAGTCGAAAACGACACGCTGGACCTATGCAGGTTAATTACGGCGCCATTAGCTCGCAAAAAATCCATTCCTATAATAAGGTCTCTTGAACATTCTGGTAGCACAATGAAATCGGCAACGTAAATAAAGCCCCGTATTTCAAGTCTTGCGGTGCATCTGCCAAGGGGCGTAATAATGTGACCACCTGCCGTGCGTATCTGCGATCCACTCCACTGTGTCACAACTTTGTTTAGCTTCTTCACCATCTTGTGACTTATCACTGAATAATCAGCACCGGTGTCGACTAAGGCATTCAGCTCCCATCCTTCCATTTTCAACCGCAAATTTGAAGTAACGCTTTCGTGGCTGCACCCTTTTACCGGAAATACACCGTCGTCGCCCTCAAGCCATATTGGAGGATCTTCGTAATTGATGTTATCAGCGGCCTCACCTCCACAGGTCGCTTGCTTCAGTTTTCCGGGAGTGGACTTGGAGAGCGATGACCAGGCTGCCTTGAAGGTGCACGTGGGCTGGATGACCGGTGGCGCATAGGCGATGGTGACCGTGACCGACGTTGGCGTAGAGGTGGCGAGTTCTGGCGTGCGGACAAGTACTCCTCAATCTCCGCTGGTCGTTCGCCGTTTCGGGGGCACGGTGCATACGACGGGAAGCCTCTTGATCCAGCCTGTCGGTAAGGGCAGAATCTGTACAAATGACCCGCTTCGCCACAATGGAAACAAAGAGGCCTGCGCTCGTGATCACGCCAGACGTCACTTTTCCTGGACCTAGGCTCCACATAGCGATGCATGCTGCGTGCTCCTGGGGGCAGATAGGTAGCCATTGGTTCCCGTGGACGAGGTCCACTGCGTGCTGTAGATGGGAGAGGAGTCGCCGCCATCGCAACTGCTGCATTGTTGTGTACTGTGGGTTGTCGGAGAACTTCAGAGTACGTTCGGATAGGTCGAACTGGCTGCAGCTCACGCTCTGGTTCTCGTATGACCTGCCTCAGTTCGTCACGAACAACGTCTGTAACAGATAGTGCAGTTGGAGTCTCGGGCATTTGCAGTCTGCTCAGTTCTTCCCAGATAACTGATCTAATGAGCTCTCACAGGGCTTCAACGTCGTTTCGCACGCCTCCAGAAAATACCTGTGCAGATGCGCAGTTAAGATTCCGGTTGTACTGCCGAGCACGCTGTTCTAGTGTTTTTTCGATGGCTGTCGCTTCTGAGTAAAACTCAGCAACTGTGCTTGGAGGGTTGCGGACGAGAACGGCGAACAGCTCTTGCTTCACTCCGCGCATTAGATGGCGCACCTTCTTATCCTCAGCCATGTTGTAATCCGCACGCTTGAACAGACAGACCATGTCCTCAATGTACATGGCAGCACTCTCGTTCGTGAGCTGGTTCCTGGATTGAAGAGCAGCTTCCGCTTTTTCTTTTCGGTCTATGTTCGCGAACGTAGCCACCGCTTGTCGTCGAAATACCTCCCAGGTAGACAACGAGGTTTCATGGTTCTCAAACCATGTCTTTGCGAAGTCTTCCAGGGCGAAGTATACGCGACGGAGCTTCTCTCTTTCGTCCCATCCATTCAAGCTCGCCACTCTCTCGAACAGGTCCAGCCAATCTTCAACATCCTCATACGAGTCGCCGTGGAATACTGGCGGCTGGTGCGGTTGGCTAATGAACACTTGTGCCGGTGTTACCTGGGTAGTCATAGTGGTGGCATCCATAGTTTGAATTCCCCTTGGTGTGAAGTGAAGAGGACCGAACTCAGGTGAGTCACCTCGAAGACGGCGACTTGCCCTCTGGTGTACAGGAGTCACTTCCACGGGGTTGATACGCTGGTCGTCGGGGCTACGCTGTCTTGAGCTCGCGGGGCTTCGATTCATAACCCAGCAACTCCACCAGAAATGTAGCGATGCTGAGGCAGACAGGCTAAAAAAACAAGCAACTTTATTAGGGCGAACTTGTGCCCACAAGTCTAATGACTATGGTCGTCGAGTCCGAGTAGCCGAGAGGCACAGATTCAACTAACTTCCTCTTCCTCGTTGTTGGAGCGCACGAACGCGTGGAGCATGCCAGCCGGATCTTGCTGGTGCTCTTGCCATGATGATTGCGGCGGGCTACTTGAACGTGGCCAACCTGTCGCGGCAATATTATATTATAATAAATTAATATTATATTATTAATATTCTAGCGCAGTATGCGGCCTGTACTTCATAATAAATGATCAAAGTCAGCTGAAGATTGCTTTCTCGTCTCGCGACAAATGACGGAAGACGCTCAAAAATCACTCGTAGTAGGCCGTGTATTAGCCATTGGCCGATTTGAACATGGCGTGCTTGATTGTTACAGGGATCCCCGTGGGAGGTTGTGAGTTGTTCGTGCGTATATGCGCGGTTACACTGAAAAAGCTGTGTATTCAAAGAAAAAAAAAAGAAGTGCTCAAGGTCACGAGGTGCGTGTGATATTTTTACGTTGCACATGCCATCCGCTCCCTTGCTTAGCTTACAGCGCTTTCATCGGGACAAGAGAAGAGAGAATGCAATTGCAGCGTGCGACAAATATTTGTAACTCCGTTCCTGCTTGACGGATACTTAAAATTTTTGCGGCATTGAATTCGTGAGGCAATAAGCTCTTTTAGTGAATCCATTTCATGGTTACTTGAAAAAGTGTTTCAGGTGCAGTGTAGCCCGGCCGTGGCTCGTCGCGTCTGATCTTCCCGGTTTGAATGATTTCGTGAAATAATCAAGATAAAAACCACCTTTAAAAGAATGGCGAAAGAAAAGAGCATGATTAAACGTGTGCTTGTCAATCAGCATGTCGGGGAATCGTTGTGAGTTGCAGGTGAGTCGCAGTCGTCTAGTTCAAAGCACAGAAAAAGCGCAATGAGGGTGTCTTTTCTTATCACGTATGTGTAACACATCAACATGACCACAAGCTGTCAAAAGTGGAAAAGCGTATAGTCAGATATCATTGCTAACAAGTAACATGCAGGTATCGTTGAATTTTAGTTCATCTGTAGATTTTGCGTCCACGTAAAAGTGATAGTACCGTGTCAACCGCGAGAGGCTGGATAGGGGGGGGGGGGGGGGGGGCATCTGGAGGCGCAAAAAAGAACCGGACAAGCAGGAAACGTATTCTATTTCTCCGCTGATGCTCATTCGCGATAGCTATATTGCACTGACCCCTCTGCGTATTCCTGAATGCTTAGCACGCCAAAACACACCAATATAGCTTACTGAGACACACGAGCGAACATGGCTGAAGCGTGTATCCTCGGGCACCTCTGCAGTGCTGCTTGGAATGGCGTCCATTTCGGAATCACTGTCGTGCAAGAGGTCGACCGAAGCAAAAATAATTCACGACGTCGCGAATCGCGGGGATTCCAAGCTCCAGACTATTGTATTGAACCCGAGACGACACTTTGTACGGCGACGACAGCAATGCAGGTGACAAGGCATGACTGAATGTGTCCGCCCAGCAGACGAAATTATTGCGGAGCAGCTGAGCCTGACGTCACTCTTTTTTGTGGAGAAGGGGCGTAATCTAGAGGTGACCGCGAGGTAGCGCCACTGCTGGTGCTCCCAGTACTAAAATTGACAAGATTGCCGGCCGTTTTTGAATAGTGCTAGATTCCAGTAATATAAATCAATAAAAGTGATAGTTATTCATCCATCAGTTGCGTTTTAGGTCACGAATCACTGCTACGGGGTCTATTGCTACTCGCTGACGCAAAAATCTTGGCATGAGTAAATTTGATGTCAGTGCTACTTTAATATTTTCTGAGTTATAATTTATGCGATGTCATTTGTGCACGTTTTCATGTCATCGGTTGAAGCGTGATTCATGCAATTGTTTTATATACAAATAAACGCCATTTCCTTCATGAATGAAGGAAAGGAATTTTGACTGTTTGTTTTGTTTGACACTACCTTAATGAAAACCATAAGATATTGAAGTCTGGCAAGGTGCTTGGATTTTAGTGCCCTTTAAAGAACTCCAGATGGTAAAAATTTACAGAGCCCTTCACTACGGAGTCTCTCATAATCATATTGCAGTTTTGGGATGCTAAATCCCAGATATCATAATTATTATTATTAAGTCTAGCAAGGTACAGGGCACATTAATTATGCTGTTTTTAAGTGTACTGCAGTAATTGTGATAGAGATGTAAATAAAATAAAATGGACGGAAAAACAACTTGCCACCCGCAAGGACCGAGCATGCAACCAAATTTCCTTCTTTCGTCACCTCTTACATGTAAGTCTATGCACACCTGTAAGTGGCAGCTGTCTGGGGTGGCTGTCAGAGTCTGTCTTGACCGAATTAATCATTCATGTTAAACAGATGTTTTTGCATTCACTCTATATGTTAACCTATTATTCCTGATATCCAAATAACCGTCCTCTTGAAAAATGTGCAGCGTGGTCCCTTCCATTCATGCTGCGTTTTTCGCGGTTTGTGGGACTCATTTTAGCATTCCTTAAGAGCACATTTAAGAAGTTGACCCTAGCATTGATTTTTTTTCCTTGTAGACACCGTTCTCTGCTCACGCTGTGCTCCCTGTTTCGTCTGCTGCGCATTGCGGAGCAGACGACCAGTGGTGAGGCCCTGGATGGCATAGATGCCCTCCTCGGATGTCCGGTGAAAATGCCCGCTTCTGATGCGCGCAATTCGTTTCACACACTTTCTATGGAGCAGCGCAATATTGTTATTTCTGCGGCCTTCTACTGTGTCAACTGGTTCCGAGAGGTGAGTTGCCTTTGGCATGTAGCTTTTGGCATGTAGCTCATATGTACATGAGAGCTGTAATAGTCATGGAGATGTCTACTTTCAGTATAGAAACAGAGGTACAAGGTTAAAAAAAAACTGGCACTCGCAGCCCAATTTCCGTTTCTTCTCATCGTGATGTTAGGTTTTACGAAGGCATTGTAAAGTCCGGCTGTTGCTTGGTAATGTCAGAAATATTCAATACCGTCAGTCTGCATGACACTTTATATTGAATGATTGTGGCTTAGGGAAAGCAGTGTGGGAAAGTACAAGGGAAAAGAAATGGATGTTTGTGTGTCATGTTTCCTACCTTGTCCTTTGTGTGTTCATTTGTATGATGGTCACATTGCGTAACAGATTCAGCTTGTATAGCTCGTTTCAAAAAAATATTCTGCCAGTTTGTTACCACCATATGTATATAATATATATATATTTTTTCATATTCATGCAGTGGAAGCCAGTCTATTGAGTGTCTGGTCTTCATTCTACATGAGTTACTGTTTAACATGTAGAAAAATTTGCAGAATACACTTTCACAGTGGAAGAAGTAAAGGCTGGCATTTATGCAAAAGCAGTCAGGCAGTCATTCTTATTTTTAGCCTCTACAGAATAATGAGTAATGAGTCATCCTAGGGCAGCGCTGCGCCTTTCAAGGACATGTAGCCAGACATCAATATAAGAAATCTGGATACTACAAATGATTGGTTATAATAAAGTCATTGAATTATAAGCCTTGTTGTTGGTACAATGTTGTGAATGTTTATTTATAATGCACTTTCAGATGTAATGAAGCTATTTGCATGTTGAAAGTGCCTTCATTATAATTTGGATTGACTAACCGTGCCTGTGTTTTGCCAATTCTCTGCGCAGCTTGTGAACGGGTTCTGTGCTCTGCGTGATGAGCAGACGAGATTGAAGATGGTAGACCGAATCCGCCGAATTGTTGAGCTTCAAAAGTGCCTTGAGAAGTGGCTGCAAGGTAGCATTCGTTCATTGCTACTAATGCTTGTCGGTAGTAAAGTATCACGCCTAAAGTAACCTGTTGGCCTCGTGGAGCAGTGTGTGCCATATTAATTTGGATTGTGTGGCAGATAGGTGTAGAAAAGAAGACATCATTATAATGATATGCTGCAGGTCATATAATGGATACATCCGGGCCATAGGGGGTATTTTGCTGTATTTGGGGGAAAAAACAAAACTGAAATGGTTTACATTTCATTCTGATAGTTTGAACTATTGAGGTCATGAACTTGTTACTAGGAACTGAGTAGGGTGAAATGAGCACTTGAAATTCAGAATTGCCGGCACCACATACGAAAGGTTAATAAAGAGACAATACGTGAGTCAACAATAGTATTTTAGAATGGAGAGAAAGGTGCTAAGCAGATGTGTGACGCACAGGACAAGTAACTGTAAAGTCTAAATCTGTTTATGAGCTAAAGCGACTAAAAAAAAAACAGGGGCGAGGCTCGGTAGCAGATACATAAGAACGTACAGTGATGACTTCAGTATTTACAGTTTTGCAACGTGCACACATGGACATGGTAAAGGTCTTTGCTAGGCTTGTGCGAATAGTGAATTTCGGGGTCGAAGCGAATTCGAAGCGAATAGTGATTTTGGTCGAATAATTCCGAATCGAATTCGAATAGTATGTATAGCATATAAAAAAAGGGAATATTTATCATAACTTAACAAACCTGCACGATATTTATTTTGAATTTAAATAGAAGCTCTATGCAAATGCCTTTTTTTTTTTCGTTGAAACGAAGTCGAAACAACTTTGATTAGTAGTTTCGGTAGGATCCGAGTGATAACCTGTAAGATACATAACGTTCTAAAATTTATTATACTTAAATCATATAAACCATCATAACAAGCTTAATAAAATGAAGGATTGATTTGAGGTTAACATGTTCTTTTAAAGGGGCTCTGCAACACTTTTTCAAGTATCCATGGAACCAGTAAACATGCTTGTCGCCTCACAAATTTGTTGTTGTTGTTGTTGTTGTTGTTGTTGTTTGTTGTTTATTCAAAAATAGATACATTTTTTTATGAATACATTTTCTGCATGTCGAATGAACAATTGGAGGTCCCAAAGTAAAAACTGTCAGGGGGACCTCCTAACAAAAAGTAAAAAGAGGATTAGCTTTTTAGTCAGCAAACAGCGACGAAATCACAGTAATATTTAAAAGAAAATGGTGCAAAAACGTAGGGTCATAGAGCAATAGTGACAATGCGCTTGAAACAAAGAAACCCAAAAGAAAACATTCAAGTCATAAGTCATTTAACAATAAGACCTTTAAGCGCTTACTAAAGGAGTACATTGAGCATGATTTGAGATCGACAGGCAGCATGTTCCACGGTGTTATGCATGAAAATCTTGCCGTCATTTGACTATAGTTGGTACGTACTTTAGGTAGAAGTAGATTACGGTCAGGTGAAAACCTCGTGCCGCAAAGTTTCTAGAATCAGTCCAGTACGAGCGGAGTTCCAAAAATTTGACGCATGCTGCAATTGCATTCTTCATTCTCGACCCGTCAAAAGAGCTGGAAGCTAAGTAGGGAAGGATGGCACGGAAAAGGAAAAAAAACATCATAAGTGCCTAGTGACCTTGAGCATTTTTTCTCTCTTTTTTTTTCTTCTGATACGAGGCCTTTCAGTGCGATCCTTCACATACTTGTGGACAAGCGGCGGCCTCACGCGGCGGTTCGATAACGACGAGCGCGCCATGCTCAAATCAGCCAATGACTGTGACCAGAGTCGTATTTTCTTTCTTGGTTGTGACAAGTGATTTTTGAGCTTGTAGTGTCATTTGCCAAGAAAAGAGAGCAATTTTTAGCTTTGAAAATTCATTGTGAATTTCAGGCCACGTGCTGCGCTATAATACTTGCCTCGTGTGTTCTCGGTAGCCTCGACTACTGATCGGCACCATTTTCTGACCATGCTCAGTAAGTGTTGCAGGGCCCCTTTAAATCTGAAAGGGGGCTTCGCGGTAAAGCAAATTTCTTCTGAGTATGTGTTTTCACGGCTTTGCATTAATACATTGCAGTGAAACCACCTTTACAAACGGACTAATGTACATTTATTTGTTTATTGCAAATACTTCGAAAATATTCGATAATTTAAATTCGAATTGAAGCGAATTCGAATACTCACCTATTCGTTCGAATATTCGAAGCATTCAAATATTCGCACAAGCCTAGTCTTTGCCCTACAGTGCACTTCAGCTAAGCATGTATTATTGTAATGACTACTGGTGAACCGCCCCGCCGCGGTGGTCTAGTGGCTAAGGTACTCGGCTGCTGACCCGCAGGGCGCGGGTTTGAATCCCGGCTGCGGCGGCTGCATTTCCGATGGAGGCGGAAATGTTATAGGCCCGTGTGCTCAGATTTGGGTGCACGTTAAAGAACCCCAGGTGGTCAAAATTTCCGGAGCCCTCCACTACGGCGTCTCTCATAATCATATCGTGGTTTTGGGACGTTAAACCCCACAAATCAATGACTACTGGTGAACCGAGTTAAATATCTCTTTTTTCCCCTCTCTTACATGGTATTTAATACAAATGTGGATTATGTATATACATAGCACACAACGTACTTAAGGCCGGTTCGACAGATGTACAATGGATGTATAAAACAAATCCCGTTCAACATTGTGTCTAAAGGGGTATTGGGGCAGCACACTTCATGAACTCTGTATACGAGTTCGGCTGAAACTGCAGCTGTTCATAAAGTTATTCAGCTGCACAGTCGTTTGTACTTAGTTAACTATCTATATCATACTTTTCATGATGAATGCTTTTTTATAGGTGTTGCATCTTGTCGTGTGATTACTGCTACCAGCTCGATAAGTCTGTTGTCATTATAAGGAAAGACTTGCAGCTGTTTTAGCTTCTCGTGATTGACAAGAATTTTTGTTTATATTCTGAGTTTGGCAGTCTTGCTAATGACTTTAAAATTCAGTATTCATGACACTGTATTTGACTGCAGATACACGTCAAATACTTTAAAAGGCAGCGCAACGAAAGAAGTGAAGTTGTATGAAATGAGAGTGATCATGACGTTGGCAATCTTCTAGTTAATTTGCACAAACATATTGTTTGACTTCCGTCCAATGTACTAATGCAAACGCTTAACACATTCTTTTACCAGGTGTGCCAGGCTATCTGCCTCCACTGGCAGTGTTTGACATCGATGATGCAGATACCAAGCCTCCAGTAGTGAACAACCCAGTGGGAAAAAAGAAGCGCAAAGGAAAAGCAGCTGGAAAGTGCGTGCATTTCTCTATCGAGACAGACCATTCTTAGTGTCATGAGTGAACTCGTTGTCTGGGCGTAAGCCTATCGCCACGAATGTCTTAACCAAAAGTTGTTTGTGCATGTTAGTTGCACTGCAAGCTAAAAAAGCATGCATGTAATAGCCATGTTTCATTTTTTTTTTGTCTTTCTACCTTCAACTTATTTCAACCTCTGAATGGTATAGGAGCCCTTTAGCTCAATAGCTGTCTGTTGTGGCTGCACCTCAGGGGTGACCGATTGTTTCAAGCCTCGTTCAACAAATTCAATTGACACAGCAGCATGGGTTATTATCGGTACGTTTACAGCACACTCGTATCTCATGCAGAGGCAAGAAGAGGAAGCTTTTCTCTGATGATGAAGACTCAGGCGATGAGGCTGGCCCATCCACCAGACCAGCTTCGTCTCCAGATCCTGATGAAGATGTAAGCTAAGTGAAAGCCAGCTAGCAAAATATTCAACCGCACCTTGTGGTGGTTTGTTCTTTGTTTTAGTTTTTGCAAACTGCTAACTGCAGACCTGATTTTCTTCACTGTGAAACATTTGACTGTATACAAGTTCACTGACATTCCTAGGGAGCCATGGAAATACGAATGCTACACAGAAATATGACGGTTGTGACTGTATGCTTCAAAACTATGCTGGAAACATTTTGATGCTCTAAATAAACTTGCACAGTGACAGCTTGCCGTCATAAAACTAGTGACTTTCATGTTGAAAGGCAGCTTCTGAATATACATTCTCCAGGAAGCCGCATGCAGTATGTGGTATGTTTGTTACAGATTTTATGTTAGTTGGTTGTTAAATGGCACTTGGAAAATTGAGGTGATATCCTGTAGTAAAACATGTGGTTGAAATTGGAAGTTTTCTGGACAAATGGGCCAATTTTTTTCTGCAAAATTACGTAAACCATTGCATAACATCCTAATTTTTCATTAGTACTATATTATGTATTGGCCAAACGGAATACCCGTCATGGCCTCAGCAATGTATTGGGGAGTGATCATGCAATGCTCCCCTAGTAACCATCGAGTTTCACCTGGCCCACCTTTTTTCTCATTTTTTGGTGTGGATCTTTGCAAATAGCTCATTCAGTTGCATGTTTATCGAACTGAACAGGGCGTCCAGTGCAATGCTTACCTTTGAGGTATGAATCGCAGTCTTTGAAGTGCTTAAACAAGCTTTAAGCCATCCTAAGACTCATCCATTCTCCACTATACACTTCACAAATGACTTCAGCAATGTCTGTGGCTTCAGCACTGTGTGTAGACAATGTTGAGGAGACTCTCTTTTGACGACTTTACTCTACATTTTAATGGCCCAAAAGAACAAAAAGAAGAGTGGCATTAAAGCACTAAGCACGGCATTTTGTAGAGCATGTGATGTTCTATTGAATAGCACAAGACACAATGCTGATACATTTTCTTTCGAGTGCAAGATGAGCCACAAAAAAAAAAAAAACAAAAAAAAAACGCCAGAGTTTTCTAGCCAACCCTGTATTTGTGGCTCTTTCTTTGTGATTCTTTTGGATCAGACTAGGTTTCCTAAACTCTCTTTTTCAGTGCAAGTCCCAGCTGGCATGACATCGGGAAATTGTTGTGTCTTCCTCATTGTGCTAAAATGAACACAAGCACTCATAATATTGTCGCGAGAGGTACTGGGATCGATACCCAGCACCTCCACCAGTCTCTCGCGAGAGGAAACGATAGACAGGAACTCGAAGTGGACGACTGTTTACTAAGCCACAGCAGCCATTCACTTCTTCGCTCTCCTCTTCTATCACTAACACAGTGTGGCATTATATTATAACTCATAATATATTTATCACTAGTTTTACATGCCACATGGCATTTCGTAGGCATGTGTGCACAGTAAATTTTAGGTTCAAAACAAATAGTGATTTGATCAGATTATTTTTAATTCAATTCGAATAGTATATATCACATATTATAAAGAAAAATGAGCATATTTGTCATGTCCCGACTAACCAGGACAATATTTTTTAAATTTAAATAAGCCATGTGCAAATGTCAAATTTTGTTTCAAAGGAAGTGAAAGCAACTTCAAATAGTAGCAGGATCTGACTTTCGGAAGAATGCAAGTGATAACTCGTAAAATACATTACGTTTTAAAATTTACGATACCTAGAACATATAAGCCAATAAAACAACTTCTAACTGGAAAAGGAATCGGTGTGAGGGCAATGTGTTCATTTAACCTTAAAGTGGGGCTTTGCCATAGTGCTAATTTGTCCTGGTTAGGTCTACTCGCAGTATGGCACTCCTCAGCTGCACCGAGTTTGAACAGTAACGGCGAAATTTGTTCTTTGTGTCACAGAAAGAACATTAAATGAATTTTTAAATCCTATTTCATTGGAATGCAAAATCTGCAGGGTGCGGAGAGTGGCAATGATGATGAAGAGGCAGTTGAGCCTGAAGTGACTGCGATGGGTTCTCTGTCTGCATCTTGGCGACCCTTCCTGCGTGAACTTGACTTCGACGTCTTCGACATTCTCAACGTTGGGCTGGTCACCAATGGCAGTGAGGTGCGATAGAAAGTTCTTAAAATTGGCATTGGACATAGAAGTTGATGAATTTCTGTTTTGGAATGTTTAGGGTATCTCTGTAAAAGGGTGTATTGTGCGTCTACACAGATACTGTCTAGCCATCTAGCATAAGAAACGACTTGCGCATGTCTCACTGTACGGTGTTGTAATATCACCTGTAGCAACTCGTATAATAAATGTGATGCAGCTTTCTCTCTGGAAATTTGGTAGCAGACACTTTAACTCTTATTAAATGCGAAGCATTTCTTAGCGAACTTCGGCGACTTTGAGCGTATCTATCTATCTATCTATCTATCTATCTATCTATCTATCTATCTATCTATCTATCTATCTATCTATCTATCTATCTATCTATCTACGTATCCATCTATCTATCTAGCCGCCTACGACTTTTAGCTCTCCTGGCCGTTTCGATAATGGTATCGATACCAAACTTGGTATGACATAACATGACTGTATGAAGAACATATTTGACTAGTCATGACATGAAAATCATGACATGTATGTCATGAATGTCATGATTTATATTTCACGGTCCTGCAGCTCTTGCGGTGGTTTCGTTCACATGGCATGTTGCAAAACTGGTATGGTATGACATGATTGCATGGCAAACACAAGCAACAGACCCTAACATGAAAATCATGACATGCGTGCCATGTAACAACATGACTATATGGCACGCTCATGATGCACTCGCGGCCGTTTCGCTAGCGTCACATATACCAAATGTGGTATTACGGTACGTACATGGGTGACAAAGGTATGATACTGGTGCAAACATGATAATTATGAGATGCGTGTCATGTAACGACATGACTACATGTCATGCTCGTGATGCGCTGGCGGCCGTTTCGCTAGTTTCACTTATACCAAATTTAGTATTACGGGACGTGAATGAATGACGAAGGTATGATACTGGTGCAAACACAATAAACATGAGATGCGTGTCATGTAACGACATGACTGCATCATATGCTCATGACGCGCTCGCGGCCGTTTCGCTAGCTTCGCATATGCCAAATTTGGTATTACGTGACGCCAATAGATGACGAAGGTATGTGACTGGTGCAAACATGATAATCATGAGATGCGTGTCATGTGAGGACGACTACATGCCACAGTCAAGGCGCCAATACATTTCGACATGACGCGGTGAGCGTGCTCACCGGTGATCATTTCGTCGCGTCACACCGTCATTGCCACGCCAGGCGCCGGTTCTGTCATATACTAGCAGGCGCGCACCACGCTGCGTTGCTTTGACGCATGCGCGTTTCAGTCCGTTTGGCGTTCCTCCGTCACGAAAAGAGACGCAGTATTGTCTGGCTAACGCATCGGCGTGAAATGCAGCGTGTCGCATTTCGCGCCTCAACACTAGCTTGGAGTATATTGGGCCCTTCATGATGCGCTCGCGGCCGTTTTGCTAGCTCCACATATACCAAATTTGGTGTTACGTAACGCCAATGGATGACGAAATATGTGATTGGTGCAAACATGATAATCCTTACACACGTGTCATGTAAAAACATGACAACATACCACGTTCATAGCGTGCTCACGGCCGTTTCGCTAACTCCACATATACTAAATTTGGTATCACATGACGTGAATATGTTGCGAAGGTAAACAACACATCGAAACATGATAATCGTGACACGGAAGTCATGTACGGCATCATTTGCTTCTACCTCGTAGCGTTGTGCTAATTTTAAAGGACATATTAACATTTCTCATTCATGCTTCGCATATCATCGATTCCCACTGTACGTGGGATCTGCCAATTTTTTTATTGAGATCTATACTTTCAGCTGGAAATTTTGTGTGTAGTTCTTTTTAAATTGGTACTGCTATGTTACAATGTTTTTTCTCATTGACGTCGTGTGGTTTTCTCTCTGTAGCATGACAGTAAGTTATAAATCCGGACAACTTTTTTTTAGCATTCAACATTTTGCTCCCTTTTGAAACTCTGTTCCATAAGACAAACTGTATTCATTGAAGATTCCTTGAATGTCTTGTACACTCTGCCTCTCGTTCTATTTTTAAAGTTCTAAGCACAGGATAGTAATCCGGGTGTTGCGGCTGAGTTAACTGGCCTGCCTTCTTTACCTTCTTTGTGCTGTCCCCGCCTCCCCCTTTCACTGTATATCTGTCTTGTCAGTTGAAGATGAATCATTCGACAGAAGTTCGTCGATACCTTCGCCAATGTTGATAAAAGTGACCGTGCGCAGCAGTTATTGGAGATACGGGTTTAAGAACCCAACGGAACCGTTTCAATGTTCGCCGAGGACGTGACTCGTCTCTTTCATCGAGCTAACCCGCACATGACGGAAGATAAAAAGTTGAGTTACCTCATGTGCGGTGTCAAAGAACAGCTTTTCGCGGGCTACTGCGCAACCCTCCAAGTACCGTGATTGACTTCATTAAGGAAGCTACGGCTATCGAGCGGGCCCTTCATCAACGCTGCAGGCAATATGACCGCATGTCCTGCAATGTCTCAATCAACGCTAACGCCATGACGTCTGAGAATCAGACGTCGTTACGAGAGTTGATTAGGCAGATAATTCGCGAAGAACTGCAGAGGTTACGGACTCCGGTTGCTGAAAATCCCATCGCGTCGATCGCTGAAGTCGTACGCGACGAAATTCACCAAGCGTTGTCTACGACTGGTCCTGATACTTAGCAGCGTCCTATGAGCTACGCTGCCGCTCTTCGACCTCCGCTACCCGCTATGCCGACGCAGTACCACCAGGTGCCCATGGTCCCTTGGTCTCCGCCGCAAGAGCAGACACTGCATCAACCACCCACGCTACAGCCATACAACCAGCCGTCCACAGCCACTCCATGGGCAGCGACGCCAGGGGAGATTCTCAGACGTCCACCAACCCGGAAAACCGATGCATGGCGCACAGTGGACAGACGTCCACTCTGCTTTCACTGCGGAGGTGCAGGCCATATTGCCTATCATTGCTGGCATCGAGGTGATTCATTCCGTCCTCATCGACCTTGGTTTGATGGTCGACGTGCCAACGACGAATACACACCACGCCGTGACGACACCCCTTTCTATGGAGCCCGTTCTCACTTTGAGGATGGCTGTACCACTGCAGAGGAGGCAATGGCTACTCACCCTCCTAGTCTGAGACGTCGATCCCGCTCTCCGTCCCCCGCGCGTTTGCCTTTGTCGCACCGCCGCACACACGCGGACCTTAATACAAGAAGGTCACCTAGCCCTTGACGGGGAAACTGAAGGCGGCGACCTCAGGGGGCAAGGTTGCAGGCCATAACGATGACGACAAGAAGCCCCCACAGCATGACGTCGTACAGCCGATAAGCCGTGAAAACGATGAAATTGCGACTAATGACCTTAGTGTTCTTCTAAACGGTCAGAAAGTGACAGCTTTAGTCGACACTGGTGCCGACTTCTCTATTATCAGTCAGGACCTCGCCGACAGCCTCAGAAAAGTGAAGATGTCGTGGACGGGCCCTCACATAAGAACGGCAGGGGGCCAGTTACTGATGCCCTCTGGAAGATGTACCGCAAGAATTGACATCAGAGGTTCTCCTTTCACTGCGTCGTTCGTCATTATTGCCGCATGTTGCAGAGGTGTAATTCTTGGCATGGATTTTTTACGGGAATATGGCGCCGTCATCAACATACATGAGAGCTTGATTACGTTTTGCAACAGTTCGGGCTTACCCAATTCTCCAGAGGCGCAACCAAACCAACTGCATATTACTGATGACGACGTGGTTCTCCCTCCTAGGTCATGCACGCTTGTTTCGGTGGCCGCCGCTGCTCAGTTTGACTCCGAAGTAGTTGCAGACCAAATAAGCTCGCTGCTCTTCTCCCACGGTATTTCCGTCGCACGAGGTATCGTCAGAGTTGCTGCTGGACACACGAACTTGCTGCTGACCAATTTCAGTGCTGAGCGCCGGCACCTTCCTAAAGGCACGGCTGTCGCTTACTTAGACGATGTCGTAGAGGCCGAAGGCTGCTTGGCGGTAGTCGATGAGTCGCTAAATCTTGATTCAGCGCCTGTTCTGGACGTTAGTACTACTTTGCCGAAAGACGACCGACGCAGACTCCTTGAGCTACTGGCCAAATTTCAAGACTGCTTTTCGACAACATCAAAAGTTGGCACACGCCCCCTAACCAGGCATCGAATAATTACCGATGAAACGGCGAGACCTATTCACCAGAACCCTTATCGCGTGGCTCCAAAAGAACGTGAAGCGATACAACAGCAGGTAGACAGAATGCTTGAAGATGACGTCATTCAGCATTGACAGAGCCCCTGGGCATCACCTGTAGTCCTCGTTAAGAAAAAGGACGGCAGCCTGCGCTTCTGTGTGGATTACCGGAAGCTAAATCAGGTGACCAAGAAAGACGTATATCCACTACCGCGTATAGACGAGTCTCTCGACAGACTTCGACACGCTCGATACTTCTCTTCAATGGATTTGCAGAGTGGATTATTGGCAAATTGAGGTGGACCCGAGAGGCCTCGAAAAGACCGCTTTTGTAACACCAGATGGGTAGTATGAATTTAAGGTCTTGCCATTCGGTTTGTGCTCAGCGCCTGCTACCTTTCAATGACTCATGGATACCGTGCTTTCTGGGTTGAAGTGGAAAACATGCTTAGTATATCTGGACGACGTCATAGTGTTTTCCGCAACGTTTGACGAGCACTTTAAGAGACTTGAGGTGGTCTTACGAGCCATACAGTCCGCGGACCTGACGTTGAAGCCTGAGAAGTGCCACTTTTGCTACGAAGAGCTGCGATTTCTTGGTCATGTCGTCAGTTATGCAGGTGTTCGTCCCGATCCTGAAAAAATCGCAGCCGTAGAACAGTTCCCTATGCCGACCGATAAAAAGGCTTTCAGACGCTTTCTCGGCCTCTGTGCATATTATCGACGATTTATCGCAGACTTCGCACGCATAGCATCACCATTAACTCGCCTCATGAGAGAAGACGTCACCT